TGTATCTCAACCCCAAGGAATGGGTAGGTTCAGCATCAAGCGAAGACGAAGTTTATGCGGCTAACCTCATCCTAGTATGCATCAATGCCGGAAGGCTCATTGAACTACCATCTCAACACCCTCGTCACCGAGATCAACTCTGCCGAAAAGAACGTCAAAACCCAATCTGGGGAAACTGTACCCTATGATATTTTGGTCCTGGCAACAGGATCCGACGCGCTCCTCCCACGACATACACCCGGTCATGACGCGAATGGCGTATTCGTATACCGCACGATCGAAGACCTACAAAGACTCATCGAGTTTTCTTCGACAAGGAAAGGTACAACAGGAGCTGTAATTGGTGGTGGTCTGCTAGGTCTGGAAGCTGCGCACGCGATGATGGATCTTGAAGATTTCGCGAAAGTGAAGCTCATTGAGCGGAATCGATGGGTGCTGTCGAGACAACTGGATGGCGATGCGGGCGGCATGGTCGTTGAGCAGGTCCGCGCTCTGGGCTTGGACGTCATGCTTAGCAAGAGAGTGGGCAAGATTCTCACAACCGAAGACAATTTTGTCAAGGGCGTGGTATTTGAGGATGGTGATGAGATGGAGTGCTCGTGCATTTGCTTCGCGGTGAGTAACATTGTACCGCGAAACAACGACAAAGACTGACTTTAGCAGATCGGCATCAAATCAAGAGACGAGCTCGCCCGGAAAGCAGGTATCAAATGCGCCGACCGAGGAGGTGGTATCGTGGTCGGCCCTGACCTAGCCACTTCACAACCGGACATCTACGCTGTAGGCGAATGCGCCAGCTGGGAGAACCAGACATTTGGTCTCATCGCTCCTGGTGTTGAGATGGCAGATGTCCTCGCCTTCAACCTCACACAAGCGAAAGCACATGCGCCGCGCAAGTTCAAAGCACCTGATCTAAGTACCAAGCTCAAGCTGCTGGGTGTCGAAGTCGCGAGTTTCGGTGACTTTTTCGCGGATCGTGACGGCCCGAAGAACATGCCTGGACGGCCACGAGCTGAGAAGAAAGATGCCAATGGATCAACGCCGAGAGATCGAGTCAAGAATTTGACGGACGGGCCAGCGCCGCCACCTGTCAAAGCTCTAACGTACAAGGATCCGTTCCAGCAAGTATACAAGAAGTATCTGTTTACCATGGACGGAAAGTACCTGTTGGGTGGCATGATGATCGGCGACACGAAAGACTACATCAAGCTGGTGCCCATGGTGAAGAATCAGAAGCAGTTGGAGATGGCGCCGAGTGAGCTCATTGTTGGTGCACAGAAGGGCGATGACGATGGTTCTGATTTGTAAGTTGCATTACACTCGTACAAGAAGGCCGTGCTAACATCATATAGATCCGGCGATACTCAGATCTGCTCATGTCACAACGTTACGAAGGACGATGTGGTCAATGCCACTAAGGACGGAACATGCAAAAGCATCGGCGACGTCAAGTCTTGCACCAAAGCTGGCACCGGATGCGGAGGCTGCATGCCGCTCGTACAGACCATCTTCAACAAGACCATGGCTTCCATGGGCAACGAAGTCAAGAATCACCTCTGCCCACATTTCGAGTACTCACGCGCCGACCTCTTTAACATCATCTACGTCAAGGGTCTGAAGGAATTTGCTGCTGTCATGAAAGAAGCTGGAAAAGATCCAAACTCTTTGGGTTGCGAAGCCTGCAAGCCGACCATCGGAAACATCGTCGCTTCGCTGTACAACAAGCACCTACTTGAAGTCAACAACAGGGGTCTACAAGATACTAATGACAGATTCCTGGCCAACATTCAGCGCAACGGCACCTTTTCAGTCGTTCCGCGAGTCTCTGGTGGTGAGATTACCCCGGAGAAGCTCATTGTCATCGGTACCGTCGCGAAGAAGTACAACCTCTACACCAAGATCACCGGTGGCCAGCGTATCGATATGTTCGGCGCACGGAAACAAGACCTCCCCGACATCTGGCAAGAGCTCATCGATGGCGGAATGGAGTCTGGCCACGCATACGCCAAGTCACTACGAACAGTCAAGTCATGCGTCGGTACTACATGGTGCCGATTCGGCATCGGCGACAGTGTGGGCATGGCGGTGCGTCTAGAGGAGCGCTACAAGTCCATCCGTGGACCCCACAAGATCAAGGGCGGAGTATCTGGCTGCGTACGCGAGTGTGCCGAGGCACAGAACAAGGACTTTGGTCTCATCGCGACTGAGAAAGGCTTCAACATCTTTGTGGGCGGTAACGGTGGCGCGAAACCACGACACTCAGAGCTTCTTGCCAAGGACGTGCCACCAGACGATGTAGTCCCCATCCTCGACCGCTACCTCTCCTTCTACATTCGCACAGCCGATAAGCTCCAAAGAACAGCGCGCTGGATGGAGAATCTCCCTGGAGGCATCAAGTACCTCCAAGAAGTCATCCTCGAAGACAAGCTAGGCATCTGCGCAGATCTAGAAAAGCAGATGGAAGACCTCGTCGGCACCTTCTTCTGCGAGTGGACCGAAGTCCTCAAAGACCCCAAGAAGCGGTCCTGGTTCTCCCAATTTGCAAACACATCCGAAACCATCGTCGACACCATCGAGCCGACCCAAGAGCGCGGCCAAGAACGGCCCTCATACTGGCCCAAAGACTCCATCACAGAAGACTTCCGCGGCACAAAATGGACAGAACTATCCTGGCAACCCCTTGTCAAAGCAGAAGAGTTCAAAGACGCAGACACAGGTGACAGCAAAGCCATTAAGCGCGGCGACACACAACTCGCCGTTTTCAAAGTGCGCGGCAAATACTACTGCACCCAACAAATGTGCCCACACAAGCGCGCCTTCGTCCTCTCCGACGGCCTCATTGGCGACGACCTCGCCAACAACAAACTCTGGGTCAGCTGCCCGTACCACAAGCGCAACTACGAACTCTCCGGCGACAACGCGGGGAAATGCGCCAACGACGAGAGCGTCAACATTGCTGTTTTCCCCATTGAGGAACGCGGTGATGGGTGGTTGTATGTCAAGTTGCCCAGTGTGGAGGAACTGGATAGCGTGCTTGGTACGAGTAAGTTTAAGATCAAGAAGAGTGAGACCGAAGATCCGTTTGTGGCGCTGGATAAGAAATTGCAGAGAATGCAGTTGAAGGGGAGGAAGGGCATGCAGGTTTCGCATCTTGAGGGTGGGCTAGGAGAGAAGGCGAAGGCGGCGCAGATACTCGCTGGTGGGGAGAGGGGGGAGGGGGGCTTGGACTGGTAGTGTCCTTGTGGAGTTTGAGCATATTTGGGATGGCGTCGTGGTGTTTGGCTGTATGATTCCCATGATCGGGTTTGTAGAAGAATAGGTACTTTGTTCGTTGGTCGCATTTAAACGTTTTCTCTCCCGTTGTTGGCCTTTATGATGGTGTGATCACCTCAGCCTCTGTATGTTGGCTGGTGGTGCTTGATATAACCGCGCCATGGGTTAGGGTTGTCATGAACCACCGATGGGTGTTCGATCACGCATTATCGTATGAGTTCGAAGCTTCAGCCATGCCCATAATATCGGAGTGTATGTGGCACCTATCGGATGATCCGGCACAGACATGGCCACTGGTAGGAGGTCAGTCTTCCTAATATGTGGTCATGGAATTAACGGCACTTTTCACTAGGGTAGTTGTGATCATTATCGCAGGGCAGATAGTGAGCGTCCGACCCGCAGTCATGTGCCACGAGTATGAACTCAGTCATTGACATGTGATTGTGGTTCATGCTTGTAGTCATGTCCTATGTACCTGTCGTTGTTCGTTCCAAAGTGGTTGCATGCTAGTTGGCTTATTCTGAACGGTGCAGTCGTTCGGATATGCAATCCAAAGTGTACTGCATTCCAAGATTTAGGATAGTGTCAGAGCTTTCCCCGTATGGCCTCACATTTATCCTTCGCATCGGAGCTCGATTGTATAGAATAATATAACCTTGTAACTTTAGATCTGAAATAACGGTGCGGGTGTTGTAATCAGACTGGAGGAGTAGTAAATATCGAGCTACCTATGTAGCACATGATGCTCGTCGGCTACAGACAGTTGAAGATAACCATAGATTCCCCTTTCGAGTACTAGCCATACGTACTTTGCCTAGTCTTTGTGGCAAGAATGTGATATCCGGAACGTTGGTTCCAGATATGGTGTTAATGGTCAGACTGGCAAGGCACCATCCGATACAGAAACAACTAATCGGAATTTTGACTAGATAGAACGTGGCTGGGAGAACAAAGTCAGAGTCTAGCGCGGAGATTTAGTGAGGTCAGTTGATCGCAGTCTCAGTGGGTCCTGTGTTGTACAAAAAGTAGTACATGACTTCCTCAATGCAGAGGAGCCCGATCATCGCCAGTACCCTTTCTTATTCCCCTGATACCACTCACTAGTAGTGTCAGCCCCGCATTGGTCACGTAGGTACGGCTACTGTTAGCCAGTCATGTTATTGCCTCAAGTTTGACAAAATAAAACCGTAAGAGTGTCCGCCCATTATCGTATCATGGTGTGCTCCGATGTAGGCGTCCCTTCACATGTAGCTCATCTCACGCTGGCCGCCAGGGCTCTCAGCCTTGGATACCGCCTTACCCAGCGCCAGCGTGGCTTTCAGATAACTTGCTTGGGCATAGAGTACTGGCTGGGGCTGTTGGGAAAGCTCCCGCACTGTTGTCTGCTTACTTCTCAGTTCTCGCATGTGAACTAAGCTTTTGTTGAGATCCTGCACTCATCCTAGCCGATCAGACTTAATCGATCAACATGAACGGCGTTCTTTTAGATAGACCTAACTTCCATGGGACGATCAAAGGAAGAGCTCGATGAAGCCGACAGGCTGATTTTCGGATCATTGCAGTGATATACGGTGTAGCATCAGGGCGTAGCATAACGTACACCGCTGGGTGAATAATAGAAGCAGGGCGCACCGCACACTTGATTGGATTTCCATGGACTGGAACAAACCTCCGGTACCAAACAACTGACGTGTCTCTGTTACCGTTACACTGAATCGAAAGAAAGGGGGCTGGTGCGGCCTTAGTGGTTGTTTTCGTCGTCACCGCAAGCAAACATCAGTATTGTGATACCATGACCTTGGCGCGAGGGACCACAAAGGTCCGTGAAATGGGTCACTCGGCATGCGAAGCAATGACGCTCTCACCGGTACTCGATGAGTATATAGAGACTGGCTTCTCTGTCAGGTACTGTAACTAGCGGAAACAACTTCTCTCTCAGCGAAAAACCGACCCACCTTCGTCGAATCTCTAGCAATATCTAATTAGGACTCTATCATCGTCATCCAGATACCAGCATGCGAAACTTGAAGATAGCTTTCAACGGTCATCGCTCGATCCCCATAGATCGTCGAACTCTTTCTGCTTGGCTTCCCCAGCTCTCGTGGATCCAAAGAATGGATGGAGATGACCTGGTGGATGAACTCGAAAGCCGCATCCAAGATCGTTATGGAATATCGAGGCACCATATTGAGCGTACTCTCTCCGAGCTATTCAGGAGACTTGGGCAGCACTCAGGCTTTGACGAACGGCAAACGCAAATGCGTCTTGTTCATGACCTGTCGAATCTTTTGATGATTGATTCCCGAACTGTTTCTCACAGCAGAGGTCTCCGAAGCTCGCGGTACATGTTCATCATCTTGTCATATTTAGCGGCGGAACAAGGATCCGTTCTGTTGGCTGAAGCGCTCTATTACTTCTGGCTCCAAGACCAATATTTGATATCACAAGAGTCGTCGGCATATGACGAAGATTGGGTGAAAGCTTTAGCGAAGGTGCGAGAGGCCATGGAAGGACCTGCGACGATGAACTTCGAGCCCTTCGCTATGGTGCCACACGCTGGCTGGCATCGCGGTCGCTCCGCTCGCGCCCTGGCGCCACCATGGCGCGGCCATAGGGCCCGGTCATTGCCTGTCATACGACGTCGCCACAGCCCAGACATGCGCCTCGCCATTCCAACGCATCCGAGCTCTGGTTGGGCTTCGCCGATGATCTCACCTGTCAGATATCCCCGAGGTGATTACTTCAACGAGCTCCAGAACCTTCAGTGGCAGCAAAGCGAAATGAACATGCAGTTGAGCAGCGTTGATGGGAAATTGGATTTTCTGCTTGCTGGGGGTATTTACTGAGTAAGAGCAACGTTTCTCTGGTGTCGACCAGAGGTTGCATTGATCTGCCATTTGGTGATATTCTGTATGAGGGAATATTGGATTGACGGAATGGCGAACGTTCGACTGCCGACAATGACGATCCGTTTTGTACCATACGCGAGAGCCGGGCTCCCCCAGCGAGTGTCGCAAAACTGAGATGGGTTATGGAAATGCCTTTTGGCGGGAAGGCTCTGAACCTTTCATGATTTCAGATATGAATGTGTCATGGGGTGCTCTAGCGAGGCGTTGCATTTACGGCCTGTTTCGTAGTCATGACAGGACTGGTTTCCGAATTCCGTAGCTTCTAGATAGCGAGGGGAAAGCCTTATCTGGTATTCTCACAGCGGTGCATAAGTCAGAGATTCCAAAGAGAAAACGAATCGGGTATCCCTTAACCCCATCAAATGATGTACCATGCGTTTCCCATATTACAGATGGAACCTGCTCTTCCGCAAATACAGGCACGAAAAGGCGTACATCGATCCGTACTGTCGTATCGCGTTGGTACTGAGCCAAGCCAAACCATAGCGCGAGCAGTAATTGGTTAGGATCGCATGAGGCGGCTACGCGCGTTGTCGGAGCAAACTTGTGACACTTCAACATATTCGTCTGTCTGTAAATCGATCGGAAGGGCTGACGGTAGACCTAGTGCTCAACGGTTTTGAGCATATAGTGATGCCAGCGGCCTGTCGAGCGAAATTTTTTCGGCCTTCCGTACCACCATCCTTTCCTCCCAACATATCATCGATATCGTTCGCGCAACACTGTGTTGTGTCCAAAGGAAGACTGTGGATCTATGTGGGATAGGGTCACGATCAGACTCGCTACCAATGTAGTGCTCCACCCCAGTCTGGGTGGATTGCAGAAATGGCTTCCAGATGTCGTTCACAGGCTGGGATTTGCCGGAGCATTCGACGGCCGTCGATTGATATTACAGATGGTTGAAGCCTTCTCCGAGCAAATGCAGTACCCCATCACATCCGACACTATCGTTACAACTCTTGAGGAGTTCATCGGATACCTTGCGCCAAAGTTCAATTTCGCCCCTTCGACTGGAACACGCCTGGACAAACATATGGAGGAGTGTCTCAGGAAAGACTTGGGGCTTGCGAATACCTCCGATCTTCGTCGCAGCAGGCACAGATTCTGGTATTTTGCCTGGTGGCTCAGGCCACTCGATCGGAGGCGTTGGCCGGGTCTATGTTGAGCTTCTTGCAACGTCACTCAAACGAAGTCGCGTTCAGCGAAAGACCCGGATTACGGAGGGAGTGGTACATGGCCCTCAGTGCATTGGAAGGTTTGATATCCGATCGAGCCCTGGAACAGCTATTACGCTGCTTCTCGGGTGCTGTCGGCCGATCATACGAGATGAGGCGGCAGCCAGCATACTACGATCCACGCGCTGAGACGATGATGAAGCGGTAGCACTATCCTTTCTTCGGTCATCAAGCTGGGAGAATACCACTGATGCTCGAAGACCCAAGAGATAGATGGCTGTCTGTTGGCCGTCCTCATCGGCACCGACATCGTCATCACTATCCTCGAATTGCATGTCCATGGATCCAGCGGAATGGATATTTCGATGATGTCGGAAAGCTGCGGGATCAGCAGGAAAAGATGTACTCGAAGCCCAATCACATTGGCCAAAAGCTCGACGACTTGTTGTGAAGCCCGGGTAAAATTGTTGCCGTATATCGCCGCTCGCTGACCTACGGCCGCAGACCGTGATGAGCGTTATGTCCTTTCAAGAGAGTTTCCTACCTCGTAAGACCGGCAGCTCTCATGCGTAGCGTAGCGACTTGCTTGGTATTATTTGAAAAACATGGGCCGCAGATGAATCGTAGTTGGCAAGGAAGACGGATTTCGATGAGTGACTCAACGCTATGGCCGAGCTGTGCATATGCTTGATCATTGTTCTATTTTCGGGTCGTGTCAGCTTTACTGATTCGTATCTGGAACAATTAGTTGACCCCGAGGTAGCATGAGGTTCCTTACAAATTTACTGCTATATCCTCTTGTTGCGTAAAACATCACACGCACTCTCCAGTGAGTATACACTATGCTCCATACGCCTCGCTAATGCAAATCATGGCCGCTGAACATCCGAGAGGACGTCATGCCCACGCACTAATCGCTGTACTTATGCCATCACCTCAAATAGTGAATGACCAGCCAGCAGAACAAGAAGAAGACGACGACTCCACCCCAGAATATCCATTTGTCTTGCTTCGCTCTCCTCTCAACCATGCGTATTGTATCGCCACTAATACCCAAGGTATTCGCCACTGTGTATAGCCGTCTCTGTGTTCCCTTGAGCATCTCCCTCTGCTGCCCTAGATCGCCGAGGACCGTCCGTCCTCTGTCTAAAAACTCATCCAACTGCTCCGAAGTTTTATTGAAAAAAGTGTTTTCCCTTAGAACATGACCCTCACGGTCGTAATCGCCGCCTGCTGGCGCGCCAGCTGAATAGGGGTTCGGTCGGTAGGGAGCGTTGGGATTGTATGGCTGGGAAGGTGCGAACGCCGAATGTTGGGCAGAGAGGTTAGGCTGTGCGTAGGGGTTTTCAGGAGTGGCTGTGTTGTGTGGGCGACGGCCTAGCAGTTCTGTACGTGCCTCTGTGGTTTGCTGTTCCTAGTCAGCAACGACGCTCGCAATGACAAATGAGTCAAGGACGCCGGTTCGAAACGTACGATATCCTCGTTTGCACTTTTTATGCGCTTGAAGTTTGTCCGGTACTCTTCGAGTTCTGCTCGGAAGTTCTTTAACCTCTCATGTGCCTTTTCTGCTTTGGTTTGTACAGGCTCTTGCTTTGCAAGCTTGCCATAATCGTCGATAGTCCGCGCAAATGTGGCCAGGGACGCGTTTAGTTGAGCTTGGAGATGTGGTGACGGCGAGGCTGAGTCGGCAAACTGGTCCAGGTCTTTTCGTATCGATGTCGATTGCCGTAAGGCGTTGTTGAACAGCGCGTTCTGTTTGCGATGTAAGTTTGTGTTGCGCCAGGTGGATAGATGAGGCGTACCATCGCGGACTGTATAGACTATCGTCGATTTGAAGTGAATGTATTACCCCAGTGTATATCTGAGATGTAGAGCGGGGTTTGTTATAATGAACGTTATACTGCAGCGTTGTACGCAGACTTTCGCGACTTGACACATTGCATCATCGCGAAGTCCAACTGCTGCTGCTGGACCCTGAAATGCCAAGCTTCTAGCGCACCAGCGCTAATGGTATGGAGATCCCTCCAGCTCGCTCTCCAAAGTCCGACATCTGGGTACTCTGGAACAATGCATATAAACCTATAGCTTGACCTTGGAGATTCGTGCGAAGCCGCCAGTACTCGTGTTCGATACAAACAATATACCCCGGCCAGATCGTTAACCGCCTGGACTACTATACGCTCCGCCCTGGACTTTTGGACGACATCGCGACAACTCCTATAAGTCGCCGGACCATAGAGGTTGAGGATCCAACGTTGTTGGGCTTCTGTTCCGGTGCGCAACTGCGGTCTGCATGTCACTCAGCTGAGCGAGCTGCTGTGGTAGTACATCCGCACAAGCCACTGTCGTCAACTCTGCCTAGTGGTAATTCTCCGCTCTACCCTTAGTCATCGCACTGCGCCCTTGTCCTTATCGGCGTTCATCTGGCCTCGTCAAGCTTTCAATATTCCGTGGTTGACGTCGTTCTTCCCTCTCCACCTGCCTAATCCGGCAATCTTCTACCCTGTCGGCAGGTAGCAGGGCTGGGTATTTACGCTTGCCGAGCCGCGGAACAGGTGCATCTCGAGAAGAGATCGCAGAAAATGATGATGGGCACCCACTGTAGACCCAGCGTGCTAACTGACATGGGAAGTTCGTTGTAGACCACTTCCGATATGCGGATCCATGTCTTAATGTGCCGTCTCGCACGTCGGGCAACGGCCTATCTCGATCTTTGCTATAAGAAGCCAGTGTGCGAGCAATGTGCCGGATAGCCACCTCCTCATAGCAGCCATTATGTTCCTCCGATCCGCACTATTCGGCAGTGCGCTGCTCTCGAACATCTACGCGCACGAGATTCTTTTCGGTCGCGATCTTCCACTACCAGTGGCAGCCAACGCGGAATCATATACCGACTGTGCTAACGCAGCATGGCCTCCGTCCAACGTCGGTGTGGAGCTGGTTCCCCAAGCACCAGATGATGAGATGCGAGCCATTGTAAATGAGATCAGTTCAGCCAACATCGAGGCTACGATCACCAAACTGGTTTCGTTTGGAACCCGCCACACCCTCGCCACATACAACAGCTCGACACGCGGAGTAGATGCAGCGAGAGATTGGGTAGCCTCTGAGATGCGAAAATATGCCGCGGAAAGCAACGGCACGATGACGGTCGAGGTGCAAAGCTATTTGCAGGGAGTAGCCAGCAGAATTCCCTTTCCCGTGTACATCTCGAATGTGCTCGCGACTGCCAAGGGAAGCGAGACTCCTGACAGGGTATATGTCATGACCGGACATATTGACAGTCGGGTCACTGACGTGCTCAACTACGATGCCGACTCTCCCGGTGCCAACGACGACGCGAGTGGAGTTGCTAGTATGTGTTTTTTTGAAAGACTTATATAGGATCGAAACTGACTAAGATAAGTTGCGATGGAAATTGCGCGTGTTCTTGCTAAGCATCAGCCCAAGTCAACAATCATTCTCGGTGCCGTATCTGGCGAAGAGCAGGGTCTATATGGCTCCACCTATCTGGCACAAACACTCAAGAACTCTAGCACAAATGTCGAAGGCATGCTGAACTGCGACATTGTCGGTTCCTCAACTGGAGATCGCGGCCAGAAAGACCCCTACACCATTCGCGCTTTCGCTCAAGGTGTTCCGCCTCTTTCAGCCGAAAACAACGTCACGGCAGCGCGACGACTCCAAATCGGTGGCGAAAACGATAGCCCTGCACGAGAGCTTGCGCGCTTCTCAGCTGAAGTTGCTGCCAACAATGCCACGGGCATGAACGTAGCCATCATCTACCGCCTGGACCGCTTCTTGCGTGGAGGTGACCACACTGGGTTCCTCCAGGCGGGCTACCCTGCCATCCGCTACACAGAACCTAACGAAAACTTCGATCATCAGCATCAAGACTTGCGCACCGAAAACGGCACCGTCTACGGCGATTTGATAGAGTTCGTTGACTTCGACTTTACAGCACGTGTTGGCAAAGTCAATCTTGCGACACTCTGGTCTCTGTCACAGGCTCCTGGCATGCCACGCAACGTTACCATCGACACGACAGTTTTGGACAACGACTCGCGCATCAAGTGGATCGTTTCCAATAGCACAGATGTCGCGAGCTACGAAATTGTGTGGCGAGCCACTACAGCAAGCCTATGGACTCGCATGCTTGATGTTGGCAAAGTTGGATCAGTTGTGCTTCCGCTTAGCAAGGACAATGTCATCTTCGGCGTGAGGGCCGTCGGTACGAACGGATACAAGAGTCCGGCTGTTTATCCTTTCCCTGGATAGAGCATCGTTTTAGGAAATAATGCAGTCCCGCGTGCCTCTGACGAACAAAACACTACCAGATGTACAGTATATTTAACCGGCAGCATGTATCGATGCATATGTCCAGCGAGTTTGCGAAAGACATGGTTTCTCTACACGTGGTGGTGTCCTCACGAAAGCCTTCGCAAGCATTTCCGCTTTCGGCGAAAATGCGCCAAGCATGACCGACCATTGTAATGTGGTGGATGATTCCGAATACAAGACACAGGCAGCGTACAGAAACGATACAAAATTTCTCATCTTTGTTCACTGATCGTCAGAATCCACGTCGCATCATTCGGCGCGGCTAATTTCGTTGCTCGGTGTTCGCAACCATGTCGTCTACTCACACCATAAATCAGACAGAAGCGAGCATTGACCACCCTTCAAGTAGTGCCCTGCACGCGAGTATCGAATTACAACATGTAGTACCAGCAGCGTCGCGCGATCAGGGACGTAAATTCAATGGCCAAGGAAGCAGCAGCACCGATCCGGCGTCGTTCCTCCCCCAGCCATCAACAACAGTATCAGTGGCTGAGCGATGGAATCATCCAAAGTCCAATACCTGCCGTACCCTTGCCATTCTCTTTGCGTTTATCGTCATGGGCGCAAACGATGCTGCATACGGTGTAAGCAATACAACCTTTCTATCTACATAGTCACTATTGACGGTCACAGGCTATCATTCCGTACCTTGAGGAGTACTACGATCTAACATATGCTGTCGTCTCGCTAATATTTCTATCTCCGATGAGCGGATATATCAGTGCTGCACTCCTGAACAACTGGCTGCACGTTCGCTTTGGTCAACGGGGTATCGCTTTCCTTGGACCTGCTTGTCATCTAGTGGCCTACCTAGGCATTGCTCTTCATCCTCCATACCCTGTTTTGGTGGTTCTGTTCATCTTCTCAGGATTTGGCAACGGTATCGAAGACGCAGCCTGGAATGCTTGGGCAGGCAGCCTGGCTAATGCAAACGAGGTCTTGGGATTCCTGCATGGCTTATACGGGCTTGGAGCTTTACTTAGTCCGCTTGCTGCTACCAGCCTGATTGCTAAGCGTGGATGGCAGTGGTATCAGTTTTACCACATCATGGTCAGTTGCCTAGGATGCTTATACATTGTTGCTGACCCTAACTAGCTTGGTGGCGCCTGCATTGAGCTTGCGACATCGCTTTGGGCATTCCGATCGAGTTCAGCTCAAGTGTATTGTCAAAAATCACTTCACGCGAATGCAGAAGGTGAAGGCCGTCTTAAGCAGGCACTCAGCAGTCGCGTTACCTGGATTGCCGCTATCTTCCTCTTCGGGTATGTCGGAGCTGGGGGAGCGCTTGGAGGCTGGATCGTTACCTTTATGCGCCGGGAGAGAGCAGGCGGCGAATTCGAATCTGGGATTGTCGCGACCGGGTTCTGGACTGGCATCGCTACTGGCCGTCTTGTCTTGAGCTTCATCACACCCAAACTTGGCGAGAAGCTCGCTGTCTTGGTACGGCGAAGATCGGATTGGAATCTGCACAAGCTAATTGTACGACAGGTTTACATCATCGTCGCCATCATATGCCAGCTCATGTTCTGGCTCATTCCCTCCTTCTACGCATCGGCCATCTTCATCGCACTATAAGGCTTCTTCCTCGGTCCGCTCTTTCCCGCTGTCATAGTCATAGCGACCAAAGCTCTCCCACCACATCTTCACGTCTCCGCGATAGGCTTTGCTGCTGCGATAGGTGTCGGCGGAGGTGCTGCGTTACCCTTTGCTATCGGATTGCTTGCTCAAGCGAAAGGCCTTGGTGTCTTACAACCCATCATTCTGGCTGTTCCCGCAGCTCTCTTAGTCTTGTGGCTCTGCTTCCCGAAATTGGAAAAGAGAAAGACGGGAGGAACAGTGTCACTGCCCACGCTGGAAGAACGCAGCAAGCAGTGGCTCAACGTTGATATTGATCTTGTCGAGATAATGAGACGCGCCATTGCGAGGGCTTGAGATAGCCCAGTGGTCGCAACTGCCTAGTAAAATCAACATGTGATGTCTTTGTCTCAGCCCTGGAATCACATCTCTGTGCGAAAACCTCAAAATCTGGTCCCTGTCCAATCCCATGGTACTGCGATGACCCATAGACAACGAGCCACTCACAGCTGCCGCAATACAAACGACATACATAATGCCTGAATCCCTTTATCAAATAATAGAAAGTAGATTACGAACGCGAAGGTCTCAGCCCTGGAGAGCTCTTTCCAGACTGATCTACGCTAGTCTCAAGGAGCAGTCAACGAACCCACCCCCCTCTTTCTCTCACCACTTTCGAATTCCTGTCACCATCACAGTCGAAATCATGTCCTCCAAATCACCCGAAGCTTCATCATGCTATCTCACAGAAGCGGTGCGCTCTCTGAGGACTGAATTGGATGAGCTCGCTAATACCCTAGCTTCCGATTCGGACTCCTCCACAGAGACGCTTGTCGGAGATGCACCAGCAACACAGTATGCTGACACTTCCACTGATACCGAAACGAAGCCGAGTACTCCATCAACATCAACCAACGACGCCAGCCAAAAGGAAACTCGCGAAGGACACGCATCCAATTCCGACGATACCGATATCGTGTATCATCCCCATCTCCGCGACGTGAACAGCATCCCCGATCTTAGTTTCACGTTGACGGAACTCATACATGCTCCCAACGACATCATCAAACAGCACTACGGCGATCGCATCCACTTTTCCAGATGGTACGCTGGTCAACCCTATACAATGGCCTGGTGCATTAAAGCGGATGACACACTCGATCCTATCGCTATTGTCATTCGATGGCCCAAAGACTCAAGTCTTGATATTGTGAAAAAGGACCACGTCGGCGACAGCATTGCCCAAGTGTCAAGACACCATGAACGGACTAACGTCCTGATGACAGCAGCCGACAACATCCGTCTGAAATTCGGATGTGATCAGATTGGCTTCTACGACGGTCTTCATCTTGTTTTGTTCGTATTCAGCGAGGATCCCCGGCCAGGTGTTGATCTATTTGTGGGATGGTCGGATGAAATTCGCTCCAAGCTCATCATGTGGCTAGGAGAGGCTATCAGGAACACGAACGTGCAGATGTTGAGACCGCTTACGGGATACGCGCTCGAGGACTCGAATCTAGAAGCCTCGGCTCTGGAGCCTCCGCCGCAACGTTTCTTAAATGACAAACATATCGACAACAGCGAGGAGAGAAACCAGGTACTCGAGCTCGGCGCCCAGTACGGTGGATGTGCATTCAAGATTTACACAACCCTAAACGGCAAGGTCGTTAAATCGGAAGACTTCATACTCCCCACAGTCGACGATTGCGCCATCGCCACACCAGACGGTGTACTCAAATCCTGCCAACGCACTTTACTCGATTTTCTAGTCACGGCTGGTAAGAACCACGCTCCGACCCTCAAACACAGCTACGAAATTGTTCCTGACGCCCTCACCTGGTTCGTGCGTATCCCAGGCGAACGCAACGCGAAGGATCTCGTTGGTATAGTTCAGTTTGCTCCTGCCGGCACTATCGTACCCGGCGATTGGGGTCTCAGGAAGCTAGACCTTACATTCACGAATGGCGAAGGTGTCGTGCGCACGGCGAAGCCTCTCCTGGAAGGCATGTTATCATTTGGACAGAAGCGGAAGTGCTATTGCCTGGCGTTGTTCGATTATCACAATGCCGTCTTCGTGACGCGCTGCAAGGGGACGAAGGTGAATGCAAGCATAGCGTTGATTGGTGGCGACAGAATTCGCAGCGCGTTTCTGCAATGGCTGATACGAGCATTGGAGATTGCAGACGAGGATTTCGACGCAGTTCAATAAATCTTCTAGCGCTGAGATGGATGCGATGAATAGCTTACATTACGGAATTTTAATCCTTACGTGTTGCATACATACATTTGAATCCTAAGACGATGTGTACTCCAACCTTAATGACATTTTCAAGAATGCGACACCAATTTTAGCCACCCCTGGTGTCGAAAATGCGTTCATGAAGTTTTTATAATGCATCAAATTATGCACATTGACAGTTGTTCAAACCTTCATAAGACCTCCAGGAAGTTCAGACAACCCTAAATCGAGTGATTAGTCAAACAGGATCTGTAAAATGATGCGGCATAACTCACATCCATCAACATCCTCATCAACAGTCCGCGGAATAGTACACTTGATCGCCTCCTCAGTAGTCTGAGAGTCCAACACCGAACACACATCACCCATACAGCGCGCATTCATAGCACGCTGAAGCGAGTCGTCTTTCCAGCCAAACACGTAGTCTCCATGCTGTGAGAACCCATTCCTGTATTGACAACACCGTCAGATCCGATCAACGTTTGAGAAGGAAATTTATCAACTCACCGATCCCCCGTACTAAGCACGAAAGGCTGGCTCCCATCCTCCGGCCACAATCCCGCATCATTAAACCCCCTCGTGTCCCACATAACCTCATACATAACTTGCGGTATAGCCACCGGATGTGACTCAGGACATGTCCCCGTAGGCCCGACGTCGTAATCACCCGCACCATTCGCATACGCTACGTGGCTCTGGTGATCCGGCGAATCGAGGTTCACCCCGTCCCAACAGGTTGGGAAGGTGATGACAGAGCGTATACCGCCGGGGCAGAAACCCGTGGGGAGTGTCTGTGCATCTGGCGCCGCACAGTTGAGATGCATGTGATCGCCTGTTTCCGGCATGCATCTATAACATACTTTGCGTGCGGAGGATCTCGACGTCGCCGTCGCGTCGCCTACTAACATGCGAAACCCCGGTCGGAAAGCCGTAACGCCAGTTTGATTCTGCGTGTCAGGCGTATAGTACACAGTGATCCCTCCCACTCCTTTTAGCCCCTCGCTGACAGACTGCGGTACCCTTTTATAGGTGCCATTGCGAGCCCGGAAGTACAAGACAGCGGTCCAGTAGTTTGAGAAGTCCTCAGAGAAAGTGCAGCTTGTACATGTGGAAGCGGTGACGAGGTCGTGCGACGAGGGCATGGAGGCTGTGAAGGAGTTTCCGCCGACGATCTGGTGGAGGTGCGGAGAGGGGATTAGGGAGGGGGAGACGAGGGGGTCGAGGCGCTCGACGACGAGTTGTGAGCACTGAAAACGGAGCATGGGGGGTATGGTTATGTTGAAGAAGGGGGGTTGGCTTGTGACATGGCGGGCGAGGAGAAGGAAGGAGAGGAAGGTTGGCCGCATGCTTGCGAGAGTGAGAGGTAATGTTGAAAATGAAGATAAGAATGATGAGATGTCAAGAATCTACACGATGTGAACACAGAGACAATGCAGACTCTAGATACTTGCTTTCCGTCATTACCTGCCGTCTCTCGCATCTGACCCATGATCACGTGTTGTTGAGTAAACAGGCAATCTCGACGTGATTGCAGTGGGGTCCGGGAGTCACTCTCTCGGGTCTTGACCGAATGTCGTGCGACTTCAGTTTATCCCTTTGAGAAACGCTGTCAGCATCATGCTCGACGATCACTGCGATACGCATGTGGGGCTTTGACTGTATATGACAAGTAAATTACTATTGCTGCAAACCCATGTAGGCAGCTGCATGCCAAGGGCATCTTCCATATCCTTCTCAATAATCTCGGAGCCTCATTGTAAAGACTCAAGAGTTGTCATTCAAAAGGAGATACTCCATAGCGAGTTTTAACCCTCTACAGCTGCAAGACCTTGAGGACGAAGATGCTATGGACTAGCAAGGAAGTATCCAATTTTCTCGGGGTGACTAGCTGTCTATCGTCCATGTCCACGTATACAGCGCGTAGCATAATTTTCCCCTCCACAAGCAATTACTTGTAATCATGTAGTCCTTGTATCCTCCAAGTCGGATGAGACACCGACTGAAGTGTGTGACGGCGTTTCTTCGTATCAAGGAAGCTTCCCGACGGACTCTTGCGCGAGAGAGGCGGTTCGGTTTCGTAGACGTACGCTCGTGTGGGATGATGCGTCAGTCGCTTTCGGGGCATCTAAGAGCGTTATCATATTTAGTGCGGTATGATTCGTAGCCTAGGTGAATCGAAGAATCGATCCTTGATCTGCTTGCAGAGTCGAGATGAAGTGGACTTCAGGAGAGAAGCGTTCTTCATCGGGACTATTCATTTGCCAGCTTCCTTCATCGTGATAGCGAGACCGGAAGCAGTACTTGACATGCTGCTACCACTACCGCTTTTCCTTCTGTTGTGTTGTTTGGCGGATTCAGAGCCGGCGCTACCACGCCGACTATTTGAAGTGGGCTGCATAGGGAAGTAGCCAGATTCGTCTTCGATGGCAAAGCGTACTGGTGTCCTTGCCCTGCTCTGCACTGGGCTCATGCGAAACGCTTCTGATCCAGCACTCCACCTCTGGCCCGGGCTTGCACCGCCTGTTAGACTGCGCGCATGCCTCCGAGTAGGCGTCTCGGCAGGTAACTGGAGCCTTGAATTGATGCCCATCCACAACGCCTCTTCATCGTCGTCACCCGGCACTCTCCATCCTCCCACGCCCTCAAAGTCACGCGTCAATTCGCTTGTACCAATGAGCGCCGTAAGAGAGTTATTCTTATGTTTCAGGAGACGTGACGTATGCGCCGACTGTAGAGCTGCATCTTGCGAAGATGTCGTGCTAGCCGTGCTTGTGCGGCGGCGTCCGGTCGGGGAGTGTCGGGCGGATGAAGGTATAAGAGGGGCACGAAGCGGAACTGGCTTCGAGGTCGATGGAGAGAACCATGCGCCTACAATTGCAATGGCGAGACGGCAATATACGGTCAATGCGCGGAAGGAGAGGAGCGATACGGCGATGGAGGTGGTGACGACGGCGAAGATGGCGAGCGGGATTGAGACGGACAGCAGGATAAAGGGCGTGACGGCGTAGACAGGATTCCACAGGCTGAGCTCAAGACTGGATGAGCCCAGTCGAAGAAACATGATGTCGAGCCGTGGTGGAGAAGGAACGATGACGACGGGTGTTCGCATGTGAAAGTTGCGGGGAAGCGCCAAGGTCAACCAGACGCGACCTCTCCACCCGTTCTCTGGGGATCATCAACAGCGTTCAATTACCGCCGAATCGCCTTGCTGTAGTCCGCGCGGGTGTGATTCCAATCCCGATCAGCACGGCACTGAGGGATGTGCCCTTGAAGATGCTCTCGTACTGCTCGATCTTCAGACGGGTCGAGTAGGGCTGACGCTTGATGCGAAGAAATGTCGCGCCCGTGACGGCCAGCCAGGCACCGAAGAGGATTTCGTAACGGTATTTCTCCACCGCGGTTTCCGAGGCGTTACCAGACATGATACTGATGCGGTCGACCAAAAGCAAAGGTAGAGGAAGCGATGAGGGTTGCGGGGTCAAACGGCAGAGGCCTTGATAATATGGAGGATTTCATGACGTCGTTGGTTGGCTCACCATCACGCGCTCGCCACCGCTACTTGCATCCATCACACCACGCCTCAGACCGCTACGATACGACGGGAAAACATCGTGAATGGTATTATCCACTCGTTCTCGATCATTGCTTTTGCGCATGAGTTACTACTACCCAACCATTCTAAACTTACTGCGTATCGAGATCCCGATTGGATCGCTTTGTTCATGCACGACTTCCTCATTGCCTCGGTCTTATCACGGATTCGCTCACCGTAATTTCATTCTCGATAGTACATCACACAATTTCTCAGCCTCGTTTAAGGCTCACAATTCATTGGGACTGAAGCGCGCATTATGGCGGCGCAAGAAATTTCAAACATCAAGCGCAACTTCTTGATTATTGTTCTGATTACTGTTGCCGTGATTCTCGTCATTGCACTCTTACACTCACGAAAGCTAATAACAACCTTCTTTGATTGTTCCAAGGCATCGATACTTCCGCTAACTAACACACCGCCACGCAAGACTCCGTTTCAGCGCCATCTCCAGGGCTTGCGCATGTGGTGAAAGCCTGCAGTCTCCTCTGCTACTAGCTCGCCTCATTCTGACAGCCGGCTAATTCATCAAGGATGGTTCCAACGCTATACGGTCCAGAAGAGTCTCTTCGAGGAAGAACGTCGCAAGGAAGCGCGAAAAGATTGGAAGCCGAGAGTGTTCATTCAAGATTACAGAGGACACCGGAAACGCATCGCTGAAGAGCAGAAAAACGTCCGACGAACACAGTGGGAGAAGTTCAAAGGCAAAATGGAACTTTGAGTATGTATCATGCAAGTCATTATTGTCCCTTCTCATCATAATGTCTCGTCACCAGTATTTATTGTACATCGTCTTTGTATGTAACGTGATCTGCAGTGGGACAACTAGGCGAAGCACGCTGACGGCTTTGTCTCCTACGTGTTCTTCAAACAAAAGTGATACTCGGCTGTGCTCTCAGTTGGTTATAGAATGTCGCTCTGCTTTTGAAGAACTCAATCACAATTTCAGATGTCATCCGATTTACGACAAAATGGCTACATCAAATTTCTCACCGCCCATCGACAAGGCCGATTCCGCTAATGTATCCGCTGAAACTTCGGTCAAAGACTTGCAACCTCAAGGTATCTCCGAACAAACGACTAACGTAATCGTTTCCATACTAGGCTCTGCAACTATTCTGGCCGCCGCCATTGGGACTATATCCTACATTCGCCGTCGACGTCGGAGAAGGGGTAATGAATAGCGTCAGCAGGAGATCGAATGGAGTCTGCAACGGGCTCGACGACCGGTTCTCACGTTAGACACAGACCTACCTATCGCGACCCAGTACACGAGGTCGGCTGGTCGAACCGGCTAGAGCACGTACTGCTATCAGAACTCCTCGTGCCCGCAATGTGACCAAGAGGCAAGCACTGTGCGACTACATGCCCGGACGTTCAACACACTGTCACCCCAGGCTATCAACATGATTCCAATCTCAATGCTCCATCTCAGCTCACCAATACCCTTTGGAGCTATCAGATTCACAAACACAAGCCCGGCCAACGCTCATGACATTGACCCACAACCAAATCGGTGCCATAGTCTCAAGCTGCGCAGGCGCGGTCTTGCTAACGACCATTTCAATCCTCATCTTCGTCCACCCAGCCCGACGCTACGCTTTCTCTCGACGCAAGTCTCCTCATTCCAACACAGCACTCACTACCGAAGACCTAGAATCCCAACATCTCTCCATAATCGACCCTCGCTTCGCCCTCCTCAGCCATTTCGAAACCATCGGTAACCTCGTCATACCTCCAAACCATCGTCCTCTTCCCTCTGCATTAGATATCATTAACCGTGTAGCCATGGCTATTGCTTTACCTGCTGGTACAAAGCCCGCGAATTTGGAATATGGAACGAACGAGGAAGCCGAAGAAAAAGAATCATGGTCTTCCATTGAGCGGCAAGACTCGCTTGTCATGCGTGAAAGTGCTGCTAAAGAACGGAAGACAATGTCTGAGAATCATATGGAGCAGTTGGAGAAGCTTCAGAATATGTTTGCTATTGATGATGGTGATGGAGATGAAGATGAGGATGAGGATGATGCCGAGTCAGCGGATATTGAGATGGATGTGACTCATATTTTGGGTCGGGTAAGGCTATGAGTGCGCTATATCATGCGAGTTAAGATGTGTTAGAATAATCTGGTATCACATACTAGCTGCTGTTGCAGGAATGTGAGATATATCATATTGTGAGGTGAGTAGTAGAATAGTTCAAAATTTCATTGCAAGAAACCAATCCCAGTTTGCCAAGGAATGTGAAGATTACAGTACATTGAGGAATTAAGTCACCCAGGTCCGTCCTCTCTTTTGTTGCCCCAAACCCTCCAAACGAACACAGTGCCGGAAAATCCTCGGCCTAAGTACCTTAGGTTGGAACCGAGCAGGTATAGCCTGCAGCATCTGCCGTAGTAGAGATGGTTTGCGTTATTGCAGCGTAAGGAGTATCGCAGGCAGTCTTGGTAGCCACATCAGCGGGGAAGCTGGTGCAGTAGTCTGTGAAGGTCTCGATAACAGTCTTTTTGTATACAACCTATTTGAACACGTCAGCACTGGTCAATTACATGCGAACAAGAAGACTTACCGAAGCAACAACGGGTTCGTATTTAGTTACCACTGGGCACTCGCACTGGGGAGTGAACGAGGTGGACTTTGGGCAATTGCCCTTGCGACTAGCATCAATGCACGGTCCCGCCATCCAGCCAGTCTCGTGGGCGACTCCGTCGGGGGTGTAGCCAGCGTGAACACCGATGTATAGAGGCTTGCCGCATTTCCAATCAGGCTGGATAGGAATGGTGCATTTGCCGGTTGAAAGGCTGCAGGCTCCGTTTCCATATGTGTATGGCCAATGTCCCTGAGGTAGGTCCGTCGCCGAGATGGGGCTTGACTTGACGATGACATGGAGATCTTCGTATTTTCCCGGGGCGGGAAGAGCAGGGTAAGTAAGGGTCAAGGTCTCGCCGTTCAGGGAATAGCAGACTTTGCCCACGTAGACGTTGTTGTTTCCGTAGACAAAGTCTTTACACTCTTCGACGGAGAAGTCGCGGGCCATGAGGCCATTAAAGGAGCGGGTGTCGAGCCCCGAGAATGGCGATGCTTGGGCAGAGGTGACGGCCACAGCGGCCGTAAGAAAAGCGGAAGTGAAAGTGAAGAGAGACATTTTGCTTCGGATTGAATTGATCTTGTAGATTGAAGTGTGTGAGTTGGTGTTGCAATTGAAGCTGATAGAGCTGTATGCCGGTGATCTGAGTACTTCTTATACAGTTCTGTATCTCAAATGCTGGAGGTACAATCCAATGTCTCTCGTGTGCAGCATGCTAGGGTCTACGAGGTCCGACGTTAGGCTCTCCAGTAAGAAGCAAGAAGTGCATCCCGACAGTGAAGCCACGATGTTGCGGCTCAGGCCATGGCGTTGTCCAGACCGGCACGCTGGCATACAGCTGAGCCAAGCTTTTCTGGAAAAGATTGTCTTGACCTAAGCCACTTTGTCAATGACTTGGTAGTTAGGTTATGACGAGGCGGAAGGTTGGCGAAGCATTCTGAGTGCCTTTGCCGACGATATGAAGAAGTTAAGGGACTTGATGTCTGTTTACCTCTTCATCGGGAGACGACCAGGTATGTAGATACCACGAGATCTCCTCGGAGTCTTCATTTGATCTATGACGGCATCCTAGATAGCAGTATCGCCCTTGAGATTCTCCTAAGTATTTGCATTTATTCCACGTCATCTGCCCAGGTTTCACTGCCGCTCTTGGCAAAGTCTTTCCACCAGAAGCTGAGCCAAGAATGGTAGCGAAAGATGGCGACGAGTGATGCCTCATACTCTGTGAACGACACCAGCATGGCAAGTACCGTCTGTGCTTGGCCAAAGCTCTGGCCCACTCGGAGACGGCACACCGTCCAGCAGTGGACTCCTAGTTTAAAAGTTGACAGTGGCGAGAATGATATGTGGACGAGCGATGCTTTCAAGAAGTGAGCTGAGATATGAGGTATGCTTGGCGATAGTCATGGCCCGCGTCGTTCTTTGGGGCAGGGCGGGGAAAAGAACCGCTACATCAGGTAGTGCATACTTGTGTGGCGTTGACAGTTACCGTAACTGTCACGCTATAACTCCGCGGCGGGAAGGCAGATCACCCGCACTGAAGACTGTGGCTGTCTGCTGAGTACGAATCATTTTCGCACAGTGACAGATCGGACATAGAAGCGGCTGATGAGTATTGACAGAAAGGAAGTTGGGCCTAGAACGAACAGGCCCTCTGTCCGGTTCCTGTACCCGAGCCAGAGGCGTGCAGTGGGCGGGGCAATCGAGAACGTTGCGAACAGCCAGGATCGCTGTAGAGAAGAGGTTTGTGGTAGATCGCAGGTGTACTGCATCTATGAGCAATAAACGTGGCTGTCTATTAACGTGTTGTGGAAAGGAAGCAGAACGTGGGAAAGCGCGCAGCGTCTCCGCGAAGATCAGCCGACGCGCGCTTAGTCAGCTGTTGCTCGACGCGCAACGCGTGACGCGTGTGTCTCTGCTATCTTCACCAGTTCCGTCGACTTGTCCACTACTCTCTCCCTACCATTGCACACCGAACGTAAACATCGCAATCGTAAAAGCTCTGTTCAACCTGAAGGTCCGAATGCGATAGACACTGATATTCTCAAACCTTACTCAGCCTGAGTAACACAACCTTGGGACTGGCAATCACCTGCAGCTTTAAGAGAGCTGTCTGCACGTGTCACAGAGCACACGGATTTGTCGCAGGTGCCATGAATGCAAATCTGGTACTTTACATACTCCATAAGCCCTAACCCACAGACGCAGCCTCAGCATCGGAGCTCGCGAAGGTATCCTGGACCGCACCTGGGCAATATTCAGGGACACGCGCTTGTCCTTCGGCAACTACCATTCGCCAGCATTACAGGCATTGTTCGCACCTTGACTGGCCGTTTGAAATGCTCATCACACAGCTTCAATGTTGTCCATGGTCATTGGCCAATGTCTCATGTTTCAAGATCGTCGCATTACCGAACGGGCCGGTCGCGGGATGATCACATCCACTAGGACAGCCCGGCAGAGAGGTAAAGCCTTCTGCAATGCTGTTTTATTGCTCCTTCAGCACCCTGTGCGACGTCGAGAGATGGTCTCGGGAACAGTAGGGTTCTGCGATCATGCGGGCAGCTAGATGGCTTCGGTTTGAAAAAACGTTTCTCTGACCTGTTCTACAGTGAGACTTCTTCACTTCGAGCAGCTCTCCATCCACAGCGATGCGATCCTCACGCAAGATTCAGTATTACGGAGTGGCAGGCCCCAGCGCATAATGAGCCTCTTCGATATGCTGCACGTCCGACATGAAGTGGGCGTGTTTCTGATGTTTCTAGCGTTTCCAGTTTTACGTCTAGGATGTTTCAAGAACGGCACCCCGGACAGCATCACCATGTCCACTCTGCTCGACATATAGTATCGCTGTGGCTCTTGGCCGGGCGCCTGCTCTTGGTTCCTGAGTGAGTGTTGTGGCAGGCCACCGCCATTGACACCTTCGCGCTCTGGTTTCTTCTTGCACATGAATTTGAGATACCCCACTACTTCGTTATAATAATGTTTGCGTTTACTTCTGAAAGGCCGGTCTGGCACCTACTGGCATGCTTTGCGACCTTCTTTTTGCTTTACTCATCGGCTGCCTTTTGGTTCGGCTCACCGGACACGTTCGCTAGCGAGCAATACCCAGATAGCCTCAAGGCAATCTTCTCTACGCAGACCATCGAGGCGCTCAACCAAGACATAAGGTTGCGTAGTGCACTACTGTCACTCACAGAAGCTATCGCACTATCCTCCAGTGATATTGGAGAGAGGCTTCGTTCGGAAAGTCTCCAGAACTTTGGCGCCAATTTAACGGATGGTATCAAGCATGTTCGGTCGAAAGAGAGGTCAGGACTGAAGAGGCGGGACTTGCAGGATGACATCAATAGTACTTTCCGAGATCTGACGGGCGCTGGCGGTATAGGCGGGTTCAATCTGACGGGTCGATTGGCTGGTGTACTGGGCAGTCTAGGAGACTTGATGGTGGGCTCCCTTGGTACACCCGCTTTGTTTCTGGGTATAGGTCTAGGGTACGTAGGCGCCCACCACAACGAACAGACTAACCATTAGCAGCATGGGTACAACGACTGCTCTCAACCTGACCGACATGGAGGAAGCCAACGCGATAGCTACGAGTATCGCCACCGCCTACAACGCTTCAGCAAGTGGTGCAAACCTCGCCGCTCAACAACTTGGAAACGGCCTATCCAGGCAAATCACCCCTTCCTTCGATAGCAACAATTTCTCTCTCGCTCCTGCGGCTTTTGCTCTGGCATCTGGCATCGGAAATGCCACTGCAGTAGGGTTCGGTCTGACAGAGCAACGTTTCGCACCTTCATCTGATTCGAGCATTGAGAGTCTAGCTGGAAATTTCGGCCTTGGAGTTGCAATGCCGATTGTGTCCAACATTGATCTTCCAGCCACAATCAAGAGTCTGGGAAACAGTTCTGGTGTCTCGAGCTTCATGCAGAATCTTCCCAAGATCGCGGCGGCAGCAGGGCTGGGCCTAGGAGAGGGCGCAAGGAACGGCTTGGGCTTGACAGCATCGCAGCCATCAGGATCTGAGAATCAGAAGCGACAATCCGTGGACCCTACAGCAGACACGATAGACTTTCCGAGAACTGTAAAGCATTTCGCCAAAGGCCTTAGCCAGTCGTTCATCCAAGGTAGCAACTTTTCAAACCTCGACATTAGTTCTATGACGGCCTTCCCCAACATGACCGAGCTCCAGGCTTTGCTCCGGCCTATGGCTGCGGGAGCTGGTGCGGGTATAGGCTTGGGGATTGCTATCGGACTGAATTTCAAGGATGCGGACGCTCCGCCGATGATCGCTAGTAACATTGACAGCGACAACGAACGAACGGCCTTGGCTGCAGAAGGCTTTACGCAAAACCTGTTCTCGAATCTTCTTATCAATGGCACCGCTATCCAGCAAGCAAAGTCATTCATCGCGAACAACCCACCTCAAGCATTACAGGGTATCGATGGTGCCAAAGCTGCGGAAGGCCTCGCTAGGGGTACTATTGAAGGCGTTGTGAGCGCGATGTATTCTGTCGGAGGGGTCAAGAACTTGATCAGTGGCGACCTTCCGGATACTGCATACGACAATGTACCAGTTTTGGCTCCGACACTGTTCAACGATACGCTAAACGGCTCAGCCGTTGGCTTTGCGCGGGGGCTTACGGGTAAAGCGACGATACTGGTTGCGGAGATTGCCAGAAACCTCACACAAGGCATGCCAAAGTCTGGTCCGGCTCCCCCATCACGGAGACGCAGTGTCGAAGAGTTGCACGGGGATATCAGTGTAGGTAAGGAATTGCTGCTAGCTAAGGTGTTGCGTATACTGACTTCTGGCAGGAACATACAGTCAGATTTCAGCCCGTCAATCTCGGGTCGGAGGCAGCCAGTTTCCCATAGCTATCGACCCCGCCACAGCGCAGAAAGGCGCACAAAAACTGGTCGATACTCTCACATGCCAGGGAATCGGCGGCATCGCGTCCGCAGCTTTCGGTGCTATGGCCGCAGCCAAAGCGAACGCTACTATGATGAAGAAAGCGATGGCTCAGCTTGGTCAAACTCTCGATCCAACGGTGCTACAAGCATTACCCCGAGGACCCATTACAGTATCATCAGAGGGAAACTTGTTCGAGATTGTTATCGAAAGTCAGAGTGTGAAGATCAATGGCCTGGCGCTCGTCCCATTTGCAGTCGTTACAGGACTACACGTCCTGTTCGCCGGTCTCGCATTTCTTACCTTCCTTCCATTATACCTTGTCTTGGGCGTAGTATGGCGTTTTTCCGTCCTCACCGGCTTCCCAGTGGACGAAGTCAAGAACAGGAAATGGCGCATGGGCTTTTTGATCACGTTCGCCATTCTAGGCATCACTGGTATAGTCCTCGGCATGGTCGGTACGGGAAGCGCGCGTCATTTCCGCGACACACATGGCATCATGGGCCTCATCTGTCTCATATTCCTTTTCCCAGCAGTGGGTTTTTCCACCGTTTGTCTTCGTACAGAGCTCCCACACCCCTCGCCCGCAGCATTCGCCGGCATTAAAGGCCCTATCGCGGTTGCGAAGACACCACAACGCATCTATCTCATCAGCGGAATCAGTACCCAACTATTATTGGGACTAGGCCAATTCGCCTTCTTGCAAGGCTTCTCCACACTCCGAGCCATATCGCTTTGCGTCGCCGACGCCGTACTGACCTCGACGAGCGTTGCTGGTCTCGTGAGCTTAGTCTTGATGATACAGATCAGTGCCACTGCATTAGTCGGCATTCGAGCTTGGTTGGAA